ACCCCCGGCACCCCCGCTTCCCTCCCAGCCCCCCAAGCGGGGCTGCTTGCATGGCCGGAGCTGCTGGGGTCGAGGGAGGTGGTGGTGATGGTGAGGATGAGCATCCTTTAGGAAACGGGCTTGGGACTCGCAGCCTTGTCCTCAAGTCTGTCCCCGGCCTGTCCCCAAGTGCGGGGAACGCGGGGGCAGGAGCCGTGACCCCCTGCAATGCCCCACTGGCATTGGGATGGCACTGGCATTGAGGGATGCAAGGTGATCCCCGAGCAGCATCCCTGCCCCGGCCCGAGGAGGCCCCGGTTCTGCCCCGTTCCCCGTCCCCGGTCCGGCTGCTTCCTCAGTGGCAGATGGAATCAGAGGCTGCGAGGAGAGCAGCACATGGAGAACTGCAAAGGACAGGGTCGGCTCTTGCAGTTAATGGCTACTTTGCGCCCGCTGAATGTCGAGCTGTTCCAAGTTTTTGGCAGGGTGACACCGGCACTGCGGCCATCCCGTTAGTGCTGCTGGGGAAACTGAGGCATGGGCTGGTCCCCTGAGCTGCCTCGGGGAGTGTGGGCAGGCTGCAGGGAAAGGCAGGGCCAGGGGTGGATGCTCTGTCCTACTGCCACCCCGGGCAGGGGGTGCAGGCATCGCTGCAGTCTGGGGGGAAAAGCTGGGAAGGAAAAGCAGCTGCAGAAGGGATGAGGGGGAGAGGTGGAAGGAGGGCTCCTTCTGTCCAAAGCAGCCCCATTTACTGCATGCCCAAAGTCATTGTACCCATTTATTGCCGTGCCCAAGGCAGGGATCACTGCTGTCCTGCTTGGCAGCGAGGAGAGTAAAATAACGAAATGTAAATGTGCATGGCGGACAGCTGGGGACAGCGAGGGGACAGCTGGGGACAGCGGGAGGCTGCAGCACTCTCTGCATGGCAGCAGGAGGGTCCCTTCTCCCCGTCCCCGGTTCATGCTGCGTGTCCTCGCTCGGCAGGACAGCCTGGTGTACCTGCTGAACCGCGAGCAGCACACGGTGGGCCAGAGGACGCAGGCCAGCAAGCCCAGCATCAGCCTGTCCGCCCCCGACATCCTGCCCCTGCACTGCACCATCAGGAAGCTCCGACCTTCGCGGCACCGCTCGGAGGAGAAGCTGGTGCTGGAGCCCATCGCCGGCGCCGCCGTCTCCGTCAACTTCTCCGAGGTGTCCCGGACGGTGGTGCTGCGGCACGGGGACCTGCTGTCCCTCGGCCTCTACTACCTGCTGCTCTACAAGGACCCCATGAAGGCGCAGCCGCTGCCGGCGCAGACCCTGCTGAGGCTGCGGGCCCTGCACCCCGAGGCTCCGCACGTGTGCGGGGCGTGCGGCAGCCTGCTGAGGGACAGGGACCCCAAAAAGCGGGGCCCATCACCTGGCGGCGGCCCCAGGACGCCCCGCAGGAGGCTGCAGCTGGAGTTCGAGCCCGCTGCCGAGGATGTGCTGCTGCGGCGCATCATGAGCCTCATCGAGCCTGGAGGGGATGACCACAAGCTGACACCTGCCTTCCTGCTCTGCCTCTGCATCCAGCACTCGGCCACCAACTTTGAGCCGGGAGACTTCGGGCAGCTGCTGCTGAAAGCGGCCAAAATGATCCAGAGGACGGTGTGGGTCAGTCGGCGGTGGGACGGGGTGTTTTGGGGTGGGGGTGTTGCTCAGGCCCTCCCTGGGGCTCCTCCTCAGCCTGGTCCCCGGTGGCAGTGAGTGCTGATGGGGGTGCTGCTGGTGCCACCCCATCCCACGGGTTCTCACTGTGCTTTCCCTTCTCTCCCTGCCCAGGAGCGGACGCGGGAGCTGGCTGAAAAGCAATCCCAGCAGTAAGTGTGACCCTCCTTGTTTTGCCTCAAAAAACGGGGAGAATTCAACCTGGTTCTTCCTCCATGAGTGAGGGCAGTCCGTGGCTGTCAGCCAGTGGTGCATGATGAGTTTTCCTGCTGAATCCCACACATTCTGCTCTCTGGTCCTTTAACCACATGCCTGCAGAGAATCTGTGGATTTGGAAAAGCTCAGGAGGGAATAGGACCTGCAGCAGCTCTGGGGTTTTCTCTGATCCAAGACCTGGCCAAGGCTTTGCATTTGTGGCTTCACCCCTGAGTGATACAGTAGGAATGTTCCTTAGTGTGAGCCTGGCCTGCCTCAGGCTGGAGACCCCTCAGTGGAGCTGAGATGGAGCTGGCACTGCATGTGTGCATCCAGGGGTGGTGGCACAGCGTGTCCCAGTGCTGGGAGCACCATTCTGGGACAATCACAGTGGTGCAAGGAGCAGTCTTCCCAGCCACATCCAAAATCCCATCTCTAAAGCAGTTGGTGCTTGCTGTGAGCTCTCCTTTAGGATAAACTTCAAAGATGCTTCCCAGGCCCTTCCTATAGCAGGAAAAAGCAGTTTAGCAGTTGAGAAATTACCCAAATGCTTTTTGTTTTATTTTTGAGCAGCCCAGGGCAAGTGAGCTGGGTTTAACTGTCCAGAGCTGGCAGGAACAGCAAATACCTCTGGGGAAGGGCTGTCTTCAGCCATGAATATTTAGTGCTGTTCATCTGTATTTGGGAAAGTCTCCCCCAAAAGTGGCACCCCATAAAGGCCAGGTGGCCTTGGTCAGCCTGGTCCCCACAGGGTCCCCTTTGCCACCCCACAGAGCAGAAACCTCTGAATTTTTCCTTGTAAAGGGTCTTTCTAAGGGGCGTTCTGGGCTTGGGGGTGTGGGGATGTGAAAGCTCTCTGGCATTGCCCCAAACTGGCTGTTTTCTCCCCAAAAGCCTGAGTGGGGATGCTGAGGAGCAGCAGGTGTAACAGCTGCTGTGTCTCCCCAGCCAGGACCCTGCCACCCTGTCCCGCTTCACCATCACAGACCTCCTCCCAGACCTGCAGCACATCATCTTCTGGATGGCCAATGCCATCGAGATCCTCTACTTTGTCCAGCAGAAATCACCCACCTACATCCAGAGCATGGAGGAAGAGCTGGACATCAAAGGTAGGTCTGGATGCAGCATCCTGCCTGTTTTCCCAGCCAGAGCAGCTCTGCTAATCCACACTCACAGGTGGTGGTCAGTGCCCTCGAGATGCTCCATTAACCCTCCATAATCCTCATCAGCAGGGACATCTCTGTGCTGTGGGCTGGGGAAATCTGTGGGAGGAGCAGCCTCACATCCTGCCCTGGTGCTGCCCAGCTCCAGAGTCAGGTTGTGCTGTGTTCACACACGAGTATGATGAGTTTTCCTGCTGAATCCCACACATTCTGCTCTCTGGTCCTTTAACCACCATGCTTGCACAGAATGAGTGGGTTTGGAAAAGCTCAGGAGGGAATAGGACCTGCAGCAGCTTGTGGTTAATGCCCTGGGGGGCTTTCTTCACCCTGGATTTGCAGGTAGCCCTGCAGAACTGCTCACTGGTGAGCCTGTGTTTATGCCAGCAAAAGGAATAAAAAGATAGAAAGGTATTAAACCAGCCTCAGAAACTTTCTGGTCTATGCAAAAAGTTTAAGTATTCTTAGGCCGGGCAGGAGCTGCCAGCAGTGATGGGAGCTGTGGGGGACGGCAGGTGGGAGCTCCCCGGGGCCCCAGGAGCCTCTTTGCCCTGTTGAGGGATTCCGTGGGGATGATACAAACCTGGAAATCCTAATAACCCACCCCCTGGGAGTCTGGGGGCCCTGCTGCTGCAGGTTTGCTCCCCGATGCTCCTGTCCTCCTGCAGGCTCCAAGGAATCTCTGTTCTCCTCGACCATCACGGCCAGCGAGGAGGCGATGACGGTGCTGGAGGAGGTGATCATGTACACCTTCCAGCAGTGTGTCTACTACATCTCCAAGGTACAGCACGAGCATCCCCAGGGCTGTGCAGGAGGGGTTTGTTTTAAGCTTTCACTCCTTGGCAGTTGCACGACGCTGAGGTGTTTTCCTTCGGGCTGAAGTTCCCCGAATTTTGGTCGCAGCCCAGGAAAAGTATTGAATTACTGCGGCGTGTTTCCTGCAGTGCAGCGGCTCGGGGGAGGCGTGCGGGGAGGGCTGCTAGGCTCGGCCAGCGCGGCATAATGCTGTGATTCAGGGCGTGATGGAAAGGGATGGAAAGGGATGGCAAGGGGCCCCTGGCCCGGGAGAGCCGGGCGGCAGCGGGAACAGAGCAGGCAGTGTGAGGCACAGAAAGGCTGCCCTGTGCAGCACGGCTCCCTGCCACCGGCACGGGGCACACGGGGCTGCTGCTGCTGCTCCTGCACCGCTCCGAGCAGCGCCTTCCTCCCCTGTGCCCTCCTCCCCTTCCCTCTCCCCTGGAAGAAGTGAGTGCAAGGCACTGCTCTCCCATGTAAGCAATATGGAAAATCATCCCCATCGATCCTGGTTTCTGTCACCTTCGTGTCCAACTGATTGGTTGCTTCCTTGGTCCACATCAGGTTTTGCAGATTTTAGCTGCCGTCACTCATCATTTCTTCCAGCTGCTAAAAGCGACCAACATTAATTTTTATATTTTTATAATTTTTATAATTTTACAATACTTATAATTTTATAACTGTTATAATAGTTATAATACTTACAATATTTATAATTTTTAAAATTTTGCATTATTTTTATATAATTTTATAATATTTATAATTTAAAAATACTTATAATTTTATAATAGTTACAATTTTATAACAGTTATAACAGTTATAATACTTATAACATTTATAATTTTTATAATTTTTAAACTTTTGCATTATTTTTTATAATTGTTAAATTGTTAATTTTCATAAATTGTTAATTTGTAATATTTATATTTTTGATAATTTTATAATACTTATCTTTTTTATAATTTTTTACACTTTTGCATTCATTTTTATAATTTTTTAAACGTTTGCACAACACTGGAGCCCATGGAGGCAGAGGGTGAACAGGAATAGCCCCTTTGCCGGAGGAGCACTGGCAGGGTTTGCTTGGCTTGAGGAGGTGAAGGAAAGGCTTGGCTGGTGCAAAAACAGAAAAACCCCAACAAACAGAGTGTGCTGTGACCTTGCTGCTCTCCTGCAGTGTCTGTACGTGTCGCTCCCGGCCCTGCTGGAGTGCAACCCCTTCCAGAGCGAGTGCCGGGAGGGCTGGCGGGGAACTCCGCCCCTGCCCGAGGAGCTCCGCAGGATCGTGCTCATCTACCAGGCTGTGCTGGACCTGCTGCACCAGTACGAAGTGCACCCCGAGATCACCTCCCAGATGTTTGCCTACCTCTTCTTCTTCTCCAACACCCTGCTCTTCAACCAGCTCCTGGATAAGGGTCAGTCCTTGAATTGGGCAGCACATATGGGACTGAGTTGTTGGGATGCTCTCCAGTCCATCCCAGTGCCACCTAAAGGGGTACAGGAAGGGGCTGGAGATGGGCAGGTCTCAGCATTGCTACAGGCAGGCCAAGCACAGACCCAGCTGCTGGCTTTTGGATTCCCATTCCCAGGAGAGCCTAAACCCCACAAGGATCCCATCCCATTCCATTGCCCCTTCGAGCCTGAGCAGAGGAGGCTGAGGGCAGTTAATAGGGGCAGCTCATTAATAAACTACAGCAGCCTGAGGTGCTCATTAGCCCTCATTAACGCAGCTGCCCCCTTGTAAGTGCCAGCAAGACCCAGCTGCCACCAGGAATTGCAGCCACAGGATGTTGGGGACATTACCTGGGGCAGGGGCTGGGGGACAGAGTTCCTTGATATGGTGATGGATGCTTTCCCTGATATGGCTGATGAATGCTTTGCCTCCTCAGGCTCCTCTCTGGGCTGCTTCCACTGGTCCCAGGGGGTGAAGCTGCGGGCCAGCGTGCGGCTGCTCCTGGAATGGCTGCACGGCGCCGGCTTCGAGCAGCTCTCACAGCAGTTCTTCTCCAAACTGGCCAGTGTGGCCAACCTGCTTGCCATGCCCGGCTCCCAGCTGGTGCAGGTGAGGGATCCCAGCCCAGGGCTCGTGGCATTGGGATGGGAATGGGCAGGAGAGCACCTCCTCAGTCTGGGGGTCTCTACACTGATGTGCCCCTTTTGAACCTGCCCTCTCCCAGGGTCTGTGGGTGGGCAGTACCCAGGAGAGGATGCTCTGGTTCTCTCCATCTTGCCCGAGCTCTCCCTCCTGTGCCCCTTGAAGCTCCCGCTCCTCAGAGGAAGCAGTTTCTCACCTGTGCCATGTGCTGTCCCCTCGCACAGATGACCTGGCCATCCCTGCGAGCTGAGTTCCCAGCGCTGAGCCCCGCGCAGCTGCACCGGGTGCTGAGCCAGTGCCAGGCTGTGATGGACGTGGGCTGCATCTCAGCATGGCAGCCCAGTGAGGAGGAGAGCCCAGCCACCTTCCAGCTTGGTGAGTCCTGCTCAGCCTGCTCCACTCGCATACAAACCTACAAACAGGTCATTCCCTTCCCCTTCCTGGTGTCCTGTAGTACCTTCAGCAACTGGCAATAACCATAGCCCCAAAATTCAGATATTGCAAAGGATGCAAAGTGCAGGTGGCTTTTTCTCCTGTCCCAAGTGAGGGATGCTGCTGGCTCAAGCTCTCTAAATCCCTGGTCCCAGCTGGGAGACTGCACATGGCTGAGAGCTGGGAGGCAGCAGTGGGGTGCAGCCCAAGCCAGTGCTAACCTCCATCCATCCCTCTGCCTTTCAGATGAGGTGCTGGAGTCCTTCGACAACCACCCACCCATCATCCTGCCCAGTGGGGGTTTCAAAGTGGACCTGGAGGTGGAGACGTTGGACGACAACATCTACAGACACCTCCTCTACATCCGCCACTTCCTCTGGAGCCTGCAGAGCAGGAGCCCCCACAGCAGCGAGGGGCCGGGCTCAGCACTCCCTAAGGTAGCCTGTACCCCACGGGGGGGTTGTTCCTCTCCTGGCTGGGCAGGAGGGTCTTGGGTCTCTCTGTAGGCCCCTCCAAGCCCAGTGCCAAGGGCTTGCTGCCCTTGCCTGCAGCCTGGAGCTGTGGCAGTGCCCTCATGGAGAGCTCCTGGAAGGATTAGTGCTGCTAATCCCCCAGCACGGGGGGCACGGGGGGCTGAGCTGGAAGGACAGGATCTTCCCAGCAATCTCGTTAGGGAGGGAGGGGAGATGTCTGTGGCAGTGCTCCCCTTCTCCCTGTGTGTTCCCTGTCCTCCCTGCTCTGCGCCCTGCCCGTCCCAGCAGCAAGTGCTAATTAGCTAATTCCTGTAAAGCACAGGGAGGGTGATTTGTGCTGTGGGTGCTAAGCTCAACTGCCATGTGGAGGGTGTCCCTTCTCCTCTCCCATCCTGTCCCCATTCCCTGCAGCACTCACAGGCCCTGCTGCCTCCTCCTGTTACCCTGGGGCCACATTGCCCAGCCCCTGTGGCACAGGAGGAGCTGTGCTCCCCAGTGTCCCCTTCCAGTGGGATCCCCAGCAGGGACATGAACAAGAGTCTGCTTCTGGCTGGCTGTAAACACCCCCAGCACTGCCCTGGCCACCAAACCGGGCTGTGGGAGCTGTGCTGGCAAGCCAGGACGAGCCATAATCTGAATTGCCAAGGTTTTGGATACATCTGGCAGCCAGGAGAGCAGCAGGGTGGTGGGGTCCGGGTGGGGAGTGACAATCACACACAGGGGGTCCCACAGCATTTCCCTCCTTCTCAAGAAAGAGGCATGCCCGACGCCGGAGGTGCTGGAGGTGAGCGAGGCCCCGGTGCCTGCCCCGGGCAGCACCATCGCCATCCAGGAGGATTTTTGCTGCCTGGGGGGCTGTGCTGAGCCACAGGGGAACCCCAAACTCTGCCTGGCCAC